AGTCTATTGTTTGCTAGCTGGTAACACATAGTAACAGCTCTCCAATGGGTGCCTAAGCTGTGTGTGTTCTTGAAACCCAAGTTAGCTCTCGTTTTAGGTTCTCAAATTTACAGCGTCCCTTTAATGTCAACAGTTGGGAGCCAGAAGAGGCTCAGATGGTGTACGGCCAGTGAAGGCAAGATCTTCTCAGTGACAACGGATAAGTAATATGATAAAAGGTACTTAATTCACAGTAGAGAAAAGGCTGCTATGTGACCTGCATCTCCTGAAAATCTCCATCTGTGGATTAAGCCACAGTTTAAAGAGAAAGCACCTTATTTTATACAGCAGAGAAGCTGCTCCAGGATTCGAGTCATAACTTCTTAATGGTTTGCATGCAGCTTCTGATGAATTTTAAATTGGAAAAGTTGAAACATAACATCCCTCGAGTCTACTTGGGGAGGAGAGTGTTTGCTTTTGAGATGTGAATGTTATACATATATGCATACAGCTTTGTACAGAGTATGTGTGATAGCAAGTACCAAGCGGTAGTAGTGTGTACAATAATTTATGGATAGCAATACAGATTGAAAAGGGTTGTGGGTATCTGCAATACTTGTGATGGTTGTGTGCTTGTCACATGTGGTAAGCTAGTAGAAGATGAAAAAGAAAGAATACTTTTAAAGTATTTGGGAAGGAAACATAAAAGCATAGCCAGCTGAAGCGATTCTGTTTCAGCAGAGAAGAAAAGTTTTGTCCTGCAAAACAGCCGATATGTTGTTCTTTCAGAAGGAAGGCTTTCACAATGAGAAACCAAATAAGCTTCTTACAGACTTTAACCCCTGTCACCCTAATTCTCCTGTTTAGAAAGACTTACTTGAGCTAAGGGAGTTTCATGTTTTCCCCCAGTCAATTACTGAGGGGAAGAAGGGAGACAAGGAAAATGAAAAACTAGATTTAAACCTTCTGGGGTTTTTATTGCTGAATTTGCATTTAGTTTAATTACTGTTTGGGGGGATTCGGTTCCCTTTGTGAATGTGCACAGTAGTTCCTGTCAGAACTTGATGTATTACCACGATTCTTGATCATTTAAACACAAGTCAGAGTTCTTCTATCAGAAAACAAATCTGTTGTCATGGGAATTATTCCAGTCTGTGTCCTAAGGAGCTACCAAGGGCTGCTGTGCTGGCTCCTGAGACTGCAGCTCCAGGAATCTGCTGTGGCAGCAGAAATTTCCTATTTCCTTTGGAAGTTGTCATAGAAGACTTGAGATGTTCTTGTGACGAATGTGATAGTCCACCTGATGTCACTATTCCTTCATGTTAATGGCCTGGAAAGCAGCAGTCTGTTCAGTTGTAACGAAAAATCAGCAAAACATGGTTCAGTTCTTGTTCATGCCGGTGTAGTTCCTGATATGTTATTTTGAACCTAAATGAAAATAGCACCACCTTAACGGAAAATAAGACAAAAACTTTGATCAAGTTGATTAAGGACTTCTGGCAATCTGCTCCTTCTGCTGACAGATTTGCCTTTGCACTTTGCCAGGGCCACTTATTTTAGCTGCATGCTCCCAGAGCAGTTAAATATAGGAGTGAGACTTGTTTTGGGTTTCAGAGATTTTTGGCAATGTTTGCTATAGCTCATTCCAGAATATAGTCATGTAGCAATGAATACTACTATCAGAATTTACCTAGGTTTAAGTTTTCCATACTCAATCTTCTTCACGAGCTTAGGATGGGAATCTGGTTAAAACAAGAGGTAAGAGGTGAGATTTAAAACTTGACAGAATTTCCATTCCATGCTAAAAGCAAAGCATAATGAAGAAAGAAAAGTGTCTTTGTGTAGTTCGAATAATCAACTTTATAAAGTGAAACAATTATGTATGACACATACATCCACAACTAATGCAATTCCTCACACCAACTAAGGGAATGCTTTACATTGCTAAGAACTGAAAGGACTTAAAGAAGAAAAACCGATCAGTATTCAGGGACAAGTTTTGTAAGATAGAAGGAAACTCCTTAAGCTGTAAATTGTTTGGGTAGGCTGCTGGTATACTGCTTAGCATAATGTGACTGGATGCTACATGCTTTATTATTTAGGCTCATTCGTTCTTCAGCCCTCAGTCATAAATTAAAGCTCTAGCTTGTTAGAGATTTTTTTCTTAAAAGATGAAGGCTAATATTATTTTGAATTCAGACTTATGCCCTATAGGAGCCTGGAGTGGAAATGTTCCAACAGTCAGATTTAGACAGCGTGATACAAAGGTTCCATGACGCCCTGTGGAAGCCATAGTTAGAGGTAAGCATGCAGATTCCCAGCACAGCAAACACAGAGAATTCATCCCAAAGGCCCAGGTTTGTAGAAGCTGGCACACAGAATCAGGAGGTGCCAGGGAGCTAGCCTGTAGAAGCGTTTGTAGGAGTGCCAGCAAGAGCAGTTGTGTTGGGGCAGCTGTCCCAGTGAGCACACAGAGGCAGCTGCTCCACAGCCTTCTGGAATCACCAGGTCCTGGTGCCTGTTCCCATATCCACTCTGCTGAGCTCCCCAGAATGGTGCGTGGATGGTATCGCCTAAGATGCAGTTCCAGGGAAAGGATGCATGTGCTCCAAGTAGGGTTTAACAGGGATTGTCTCCAGTGGAAATGGTGGAAATGTTGAGACAGCTGCTGTTTAACCTTGGCAGCCTCTGAATTCTGAATATAGGCTTGTTTGTTTACCTTGGTGTCTTGACTGTTTGAAATTTCTCTTTCCCAAAACACATTGCTTGCGTTCTGACAGGATGCAAGATGCATGCAAAATCACCTAATCTGGAAAACAATGTTTAGGTTTCTAATGCAATTTTAATAAGTAATCATAAATCATGTTCAGGTGTTACGCTGGCCTTTAATGCATCCCTCCATTACACAGATAAATAAGCCATGCATGGGTGTATAATGGTAAGCAGCGTTAGTTGCCTTCAAATAAGTCTTCCAAGTACTAAAGTCTGTTACAGAGCATGAGTACTCAGGTTTTGGTTTTGCCTGTTTCTGAGTGAGAAGTGACCATTTGTATAGGCTGAGCAGCAGTTTAGGGCAATTTTGATTAAATATTTGGGAAATATTTTGTGAGGAATAGAGTATGTTTGGGGCCTGTGGAGACTCCATCATGTGAAAGCAAGATAGTGCCAATAACAGTCTGAGTCCAGCAAACCTTTCTGGTGACAACATGATGGCTTTATATGAAATAGTTTTTCTCTAGATTTTTATAGGTTTTTTTATATTGATGTACACCTCTAAAGTCAGTATATGCAGGATTGGCCCATTTTTAAATGATGCTTCTCAACAGCCTATTTTTATTTGCTGGGTGGCATTCTGCATGCCTCTACAGGAAATGTGCAGAGCAAAGCAAAAAAAAAGTTTGGTCTCTAAGCAGAATCCTCCAAGAGCTGGTGTCCACCAGCAGAGCCCACAAGGATTCTCTAGCTGCTGACTCCTGCTTTGTGCACAGTTTGATCCTTGGTCCCTTGCATTCCTTGTCCCAGCTCCAACACACCTGTTGCCCCAAGGACTTGGCAGCTCTGGAGCTAAGTATCTTGTATTCCTCATGTACTGTGTGAGCCAGGTAGCTGCACTTTGTGTTTCAGTTAGGAAGCTATGCACCAATTATGAGGAGATAAGAGGTCACTACAATCCCTTTGCCTGCACATAGAAAGAGAAAATGCTGTCTTAGTGGAACAAATGCTGTCTTAGTGGAAACTTTCGATACAAGTTCTTCCTCTAACTGGCAAAACCTTCTCATCTCTCCTCCTGACAGCCTGAACCTCAAGCTGTTGTGTGGGGTGGATCACAAACTCTCAAATGAATATTTTAGTTCTACTTGCTGATTGCAAATTGATTTAAGAGAGGTCAGAAATCACATGCCTGTTGAACATTGACACACTTGTAGGCTCATTTTCTATTTTTCTGCCAGATGTATCCTTACAGAGAAGCATTCTCAGTGGGAGAGTTGCAGAGATCCAGCCTTATCCTAGAATCTTCCATGTGTTGGAGAACTTCAGTGACAGATGTGAGTGTGATGCATGTCAAAAGGATGAAGTGTTTGGATCAGTCTTCCCTGTATTGCATGAATGCCTCCTCCTTTTAGGGCAGCCATATGCTAGCATTGGCTGTTTGTGTAAACTCAGCCTGAAAACATAATTCCTGAATTCATGTGGGATAGGTTGGAGAAAAGCCCTCAGTCCTCACCCTCCGTTCAGGCAGGCAGGAGTTGTAACAGGGTACTTGTTTAGGCACTGTAAGTCTGGAAAATTGCTGGAAAGGTTTCCCTGTAAATAGTTGTATATTCAAGATATCATTCAAGAAGTACTTTTCTGCACCAAATAAGACTGTTTGTAGGCTATTGCATGAAGTAGTTGAAGCTAAGCATTAAAGTTAGGCAGAAAGGTTCAGCCAAGCAAGACTGGCTAACTTAAGGCTGGCTTTATAAAAACATACAGGTCTTCTGTGAACTCAATGTTGTTCTAAATACACATATGCAAGATGAAAAGGAGTATGTTCTGTGGGATGTATAAACTAGAAAGTGCTGACAAGTTTGTCTTAGGAACAGGATTTTCAAGTTAGATAACAAATAGCTAAGATAAGAACTCAAATTACATTCAAATGTAAATAGTAGCACAGACAAAATGTCATCATAGCAAAACCAATAAAAGTAACAATAAGGAACATGAACTTATCCTAGGCCTCAAAAACTGTTAGCAGCAGTAGTGCAAATAAAGTTCTGTGCAAAAAAAAAAAAAAAAAAAATTAAAAAAAAATCATTATCTTCATTGCTTTTAGGAGCTTTAAATAATTTGATCAGTAAATTGTTTTATGAGAGGTAAGCTATGGAAGTCCTATAATAATAAACCCTCTAATAGTAGAATGTATTAGAGTTGTAATCACACAGATCACAGTGAGAAGCATAAGGTATTTGGATTTAGCAGGTCTTTATTATTTAGTTATTTGGTTTTACCTTTCTTGAACCAGTGTTCCTAAGTTATGCCATTTAACTATGAGAATCCTTTTTAGAAGCCGGTGAAGCAGAGATATGAACGGTGCTTTGTGTCAACAATTTCCTTTCTAGGTCAGAACTATTCACAAAGATGGGAATGGGAATGACATTAGAATAGTCAGAAATGTCAGAAACTAATTTTGTTCAATTAACACTGCTTGTTTAAGTCCACATTTGTAAATACTAACATGAATTCATTTATTGACAGAAAGTCATTGAGCAAGTACATTCAGCATACACGAGTGTACACTGGGGTTAACAGCCCTGGGAGAAAACAAAAAGCACCTCTTATTCCTGCATCTGAATGTTAGTAAAAACCTGCAAGCACCACCACCACACAACCCTGTCTTCCCCCATGCACACACACCCAAAAGCCCAACCTCCCTGACAGGGGAAGACAGATGAGTGGAATTAGTTACTGTTTCATGTGGCAGGCATTGATGTTAACGAACTGATACTCACTTGCTAAGCAAGCACATCTACTGACATTAATGTTTAGGAGATTAATAAGCCATCCAGCATCTAAGAAACAACCTTCTACTCATGTAGACTGTGTGTGTGCATTTATGTATCTATGTGCAAAAACTCTGCAGAGAACTGGCTGCATGCCTCCATGGAAAAGCATGGGGGGACTGCTGTGTTTTAATAAGGTATCCCTTGTATCAAGTGTTTCTGATGCAATTGTTGTAGCAAAGATGCAGTGCCTGCACCTGCCATGCACCTGGTGGATAGCAGGGCAGTCAGGCAACCCATGGAACAGTTACATGCAGTACATGCAGTACTTCTGATGGGGAGATCTGCACAAGTTTTTGTTGCTCTTTTCTGGAGAGGCAGTAATATGCAGAGTTCAGCTGAAAGAAGGCTGTGGGCCAGAGCACAGATCCCAGCAGGGAGCATGCCCAAGCAGGTTAGTATTTTTGTTTGCGTTGTTTTAAAACAGCAATTACAAGGTGGAGTTTAAATATAGTATTTTAAATCTTACTCTGAAGTTAGGAGTGTTAGTCCCATGCAGGGAAAAGACTGTAATGAATAAAACGAATCAAGTATTTTCCGTTTAGTTGTCACTTAGCCCTCTGCATCCTTCTGGTTTTCTGTCGTATCCATCCTCCCTCCAGTTCTCACAGCTGAGCTTTAGAGATCTGTGCTGTTCTTGGACAGAATGAACTGCATTGCTGTCACTTGCAGATGCCAAGGAGCTAGTCCATGTCACAGGAGTGCAGCATGCAAATAGGACACCTGCACAGGCAGGATCCTGTGACAGCTATTCCAAGAGACACCAGGCAATTCATGCAACCGCAACAAACAAGTGGGTTTACTCTGGGAAGTCAAGGAAAGGGTGGCAACAAACAAAAAAACACAAACACACCCAGCATAAGTTCTAAGTTCGTCAGCCAGATGTCAGATTCCTTAATGTCAACAAATACTTTGGATGTACGTGTACAGTCTGCTCTTACCCAATGTAAATATAACTATGTTGGCCTTCTTACACTCTGAGATTTCTCTGCAGGTATATAATGCAATATCTGCATGTTTCTCAAGTACATATGATGCAAAATACTACATTTACCTGCTTACATTATGGACTGATAGTTTTGCAACTAAACGGTTATCCTGACAAATAGTCTAATAATTGACCAAACTATAATACTGTTTCCCTCTTCTGTTCCTAAACTTCATTAAAGGCAGTCTATCTCCTGTACATGAAAGCTGCTAGGAGAAAATGCAAGGGGTTTATCACTTTAGCCATTAGATTACTTTAATTAAACATATGATCAGATTATAATTGAAAAGCACTTAATCAAAGTTCATTTTTTTACAAATTTTCCTGAGATTACTGTCGAGTAAGAGTTACAAGTTTAAACTCATCTGCCTTTGTTTTCACAAATAAGCTATTTTCATACTCTTCTAATCATCAGCTGGGAAAGTAACTGGATCTCATGGTGAGATGACAAGTAACATAAATAGTGTTTTCAGTTTGTTTTGTCACAGCCTGTGGCCAAGTGGTGATGGGTTGACAGCTGGACTAGATGAGGTTAGACATCTTTTCCAGCCTTAATGATTCTATGATTCTATTAAATCTCAATTTCTACATCATCTGATTACCACTTATTGAGAGCATCCTGTTGTCTTAAAGGTGAGGATATTCTAGGAGCTTCACTATGCTCAAAAGACAGAAGAAAACTCACTTCAGCATGAGTGAGAGCAGAGCTGGGCTGTCACCCTATATGCACTGCTGCTGTGCTGTGGGCATGGTGCTGAGCACATGTTCTCAATTTAATTGCATTGGTTCTTCATTTCTGGCCAGCTTCAGTCAGTATCCACTCTAACAAGCTGTCAGCATAACCATATTGTGCATTCAAGACTGAAGTTTAAAAACCATGGACTTCAAAACAAAGCCAATTACGGGATGTCCACCACGTTAGCTATAAAAGTCTCAACAGTTCATGTTTCAGAAACAAGTAAATGGAAAGAGTATAAAATATCCCTACTTCAGCTGAATACATAGTTTAATGCTTTGCATATGGTATGTATGCTTTAGCAATCTTTTAAAAGAATAAGAAATTATTTTAAGTCCAAGAAAATCAGAATTTTATTTAAAAAATTTACGGAAGTAAATCCTCACATTTTCAATAAATCAACTGCATTATTTGCATAATGATGAACCAGACAAATATTTCACTGCATTAAATAATGGAGTCAAACTAAATAAATACTAAAATAATTGTATAAATACATACATATCAAGCTTAGAAAAGCAGCCTATAGTTGCATAGTATTGTACAAAACCTTTCATGTACACATCTTCCCTGTCAGCAAAGCTGTGGCAGACAAGAACAAATATATGCTGTATAATTTCCCAAGATAAAAACTCTCCATATCCAAACAGTTCTCCCTGGAGTAACAAAACACTCAGCACAGTTGCTTCCTTACCAAACCCAGCTTTGTAACTCCAGTCAGTCTTTAAACCTGAAAGCTCTTTAGAAGGCACTGTCAGATGATAAAAACGAGGACTGATTGAAATTGATTTGGCAAAATAATTTGCTGTCACAGAGTCCCAGAATGCAGAAGAAAACGAAGAGAGTAAAACAGTGTTTGCACACACCCTGAACCTGTCTTTCTAAACAAAAAGTGTTGAGAAAAACACTTATTTGATCCAAAAGTTATGTCAGGTTGCCAATGTTACTTCACAACAGAAACAGTATTTTCATGTTGGCTTCCAAACAAGTGCAAGCAGAATTGAAAAGCCATGCTAATGTGGACAGGGAAAATGATGTAAGCAGTGTATGCTAGCATCACTAACATAGTAACGTTGAAAGTGTAGAAGAGCACTTTTTCCCAGGGCTCCATGAGGTAGCTGCAGGTGATTAATTCAAACTGGCAGAACAGCCAATAAAGATAGTTCTTCATGCTCTTAATATCCATCTTCAACACAGAGCAGCTTCTGGAAGCCTTCCCTATTACGATAAAGGATAGTTAGGAGAAAAAAAAAAAAACTTTAAAAGAAAAAAAAAACAAAAAAAAAACAGAAATTCCATTTTATCCAGGCTGTCCATAGTGACCAGTGTTAGCAAATATTATTAAAGCACAAGAAAACTAAAATCTAGAATCCATAAACAAATTTTAAAGCACAGTTAATGACCAGATAGAAACAGACTATCCTATGCAAAGCTCCATTTGTACTCCTTTTGCTCTTTCCACCTTCTCTTCTGAATAAGAGAGTCAAATTCAGCCCACCGTATAAAGGGCCATTCCTTAGGACACTCCACAAGATCTTTTTCCAGAACTCTGTTACCTAAGAATTATTGCAAGTCCATTTTCCAAACCAAACTACTTTCATAACTTTTCCTGGCAATGGATTATTTCAGATTCCATTGAAGCAGCTTAATTCAGAAAGCACTCATAGCTCTCTCTTCACTAGTCATGGAGTCTGAAGTAGAACTTGGCGAGAGTCTGATATCTGTCACTGCAGATGGAATTTGAAGTCTTATGATTCAGTTGTTGTTGGAAGTATGCAGAATAACACACATACAGAACTACAACAAAGTGTATCCATATACAGACTGTACAGCTCCATCTGCAACAGAGACTGCACTGATCTATTGCAAGAATAAAAACATGCCCATTTATTTTAAGGCTTTGTGTTCAGATTGATGCTAATCATTATTTAGTGTTACATTATACAGTTACCGGGAGAATACAGAACTGGAGAGGTGAAAGGAAAACAGGACTTGTTCAGTCACTGATGCTTCATCATTTGGTACAAAAGGAGGTGAAACAAACCTCCTCTTTTTAATTGGAAAGTTTGAACTTCTGGTGGCATCAAGGTCTGTGGAAAACATCATATTCCACAGGAATTAAATCATAGAATCACAGAATCGCAAGGTTGGAAACGACCTTCAAGATCATCTAGTCCAACCATCCTCCCATTACCATTGCTACCACTGATACTTCATAGATCTGTAGACAGTGGAATTTTATCCTAATAAAAGCTACATCTTAAGAGTTTTTAGAGAAATTTTGCCTTATCTTTTCCATTTGTCTACAATACCTTCCATTTTTCTGCCTCACAGGTAATATCTCTGAAGAAAAGAAGTACTATGAACTACTTTTCATAATATCCTTGCTATATCAGTCACATTTCTGTGCATCACATGCAGCTTTTACTAAATCAAGATGATATTTAAGCCTCTTATCAAACAAAATATTGCCAAACTACTCTAAGGAAAGAATTTTCCTACCAAAAAATGGTGTGGATTCTGTAAAAGCAGAACTTACCTCTTCGGTTCTCCCTGGTGACAAAATGTTTAGAGAGATACTTCCTGACACTTCTGCCTTTTGCAGCTGAACATCTCCTCTACACACCGAGAAGCAGAGAGAAGTACCTTTGATCCTCAATTACAGAGTGTGTCCTCCATACCCCGCCCTGCTTTACTATTGCTAAAAACTCCTCTGGCCAAAACTGCATTATGCAATAAGGACACCCATGGTCTGGCTTGGCACCGCACTCTCATGACGGCATTAATTTGATAATTAGTAGAGAGTCAAAGTTGAAGATCTGCAGGGAGGGAGGAGCGTACAAGACTGCAATACTATATAGGACAATCAGCAAAAAATGTTTACAGTTAGTGCCTTCTCTAATTGGGAATGACAAAAATGTACTCCTACTTCTGTGGGACTATACAGTGCAGGCTGCTAAAGTTCCTATGAGGCACAATGAAATGTTTGTGCAAAAATATGGTGTCAGAGTTTCATAGCCACAAAAATGCAGCTCAATTAATGTCACAGGAAAGCCTCAGGTGAAGCCTTCACCTCCTACAACCTCTGATTAATACCACTTTCAAACAGTTCCCAGTTCTCCCTGTGTGTCTGTCTCCCAGCCCCACACCCACAGATCAGTTGTCCCGCTTCAGAACACCAGGGAGGACAGAACACAAGATTTATGTGAGCAGAAGTTGGTGAATTTGCCCTAAAAATGCTACAAAATTATACCAAGCCACATGTACTTGAGGTATTTTAATGATCTAATTTGACAAGTAAATTAGGTAGAAATCTGCATAATACATTATGTTCTAAATTACCTGCCTGCAGTCAAATCATTTCCAAATCTGAATCAGCTTCACTTAGGAAGAATATCCCACAAGCATGTCCAAAGCATCATTGCCACGCCTTCCTGCTTCTCTTCCTTACCAAACAGCCTGAGCTGACCCATTAGTAAAAGCTGACCTAGTCCTTCAACCTTTTTTTCCCCCTGTAGTTTTCAATAAAATAAGGTTTTCTGTTCAAAAACTGCCCAATTCACACAGAAAATTAAAGAAATGGTAAAGCACTTCTTCTGGCAGCAGTAGTTAAGATGCCACATTGCCTTCTCTGGCAGAGCCACAAGGGCCCATCTCCAAAGGTGGACAAACTACTGAGCTAAGGAGGATATAACTTGGCCTGTGGTCTGCACGGTAGATTCATAAATGCTGAAATATTATTGCCCTGAATACTTCTGCAAGATTCTTACCTCAGCCATTTCTGTTTTCAACTCTACCTTTCAGGCTAGGTTTTGCAACAGAGCACTGGGGCATGGAGTGGGAGGAGACATTTTCAGGGGCTTTTCAAAAAACACTGATGAAAAACAACACAGAAGTAACACAGTTGTTTTATGTACAAGAGAAGCAACAGTTGAAGACCATAGCACCTGTGTTCCTGACAGGCCAGCAGCCCTACTTCTAGTCACTCACCTTCTCAGCTGGGTGCATCAGCCACAGGCACCAGCAGAGCACTGGCATGGCAGCAGAAGTCTGTTCACCTCAGCCCAAGTTCTCTCAGAAAAGCATTTGTGTAAGAGCCAAGGAAATTCATGTAGGTACTTCTGCCATTTCAAGTGTAAAACTGTACAGCTATTGTCATTCTTTTTTATATTGCTCTACTGTTATTTTCAGTAATAAATTCCACAAGTTTAAACAATGCAGAAAGAAAAGACTTGTGCGAGTTTGCTTTAGTTCTAACAGCTTTAGAAACATTTAAGTTTTTACCTGAAGCCAAAAGTTGTGCAAGGGGTAGCTGTTAGTGCAGAAGCAGAGCCTACCTCACAGAAATGAAATGTCAGGATAAGCAGAATCCATTTCTGACGTGACGCTGTAAGCACCCCCCTGGATGGGGGTGTGAAGCTCTCTTTGGGGCTCTCTGTACAGCCACTCCTGCTGCTTCTCCCAGCTTTTACCTGAAGGGGAAATAAGAACTCATAAATACCTTTCACAGTTCATAATCACAGGTGTTCACTTTCACTCAGAATACAAAATTTGCCTGAAATGCCTGCTTTTTATGCCAGTTTTAGTCTACATGCCTTAAGATCATTTTCCTTCAGAGAATAAATGGAAATAGTCTTTAAGATCAAAACAAAACAAAACAGAAAACAAACCCATATTGTGATGGTTGGTACTATTACAGTGATGGATGAGTGCAGATGCAAGAACAAGGTGGTTTTTTTTTTTTCCAAAAAGATCTCAAATCAGTTTTGCTGCAGCTCTGAAAAGCAGCAGAGGCTTTCCCAAAGAGAGCCTTGTCCCAGAGGGGCTGCTTCCTTCCCCTTTTTAACACCATCTCTACATCTTGCAGAGCTCTCCTCTACGGTGCATATCTGGAATCAACTTATCTGCGCTCCAAGACAAGTCAGCACTGACTCATAGCATCACATCAACACAAATTTACATAAATCTGGTAAAAGGGGAACATGAAAACTACATCGTAACATGTTATGAAAGCTTTATTACTTCCTGAGTGCCATCAAGAACTAGCCTTCCATCTCCCTAACTAGCAGTGTCCAGCCCTGAGCCCAATTAATTAAAAAACTGATCTCTGCAGTTGCTGGTAAAACAGAAATTGGCAACGTGTATGCAAAAAGAAAATAATTGGGCTGTCTCCCTGAGCTTTATGCCTTGATCCTGCAGTGTTCCCTTCCCAGTCCCATTTACTTCTCTCTCCAATTGTGTCATTACCCAAAAGGCAGCAACTCATGGACAGATTTGTCTGCTAGGAGAACATCCAGGCAGCTTCTCAACAAGCTTATCCTGCAACAGCTGTTTCTTGTTGGTTTGGGGTCTTTCAGTTGTGTTGCCCAGGTTTATGCCAAGGCTGGCAGGTAATTAAATTGCAAAACCTCTGTTTACTGCTTCTCACTCTGGTTTCCAGCCAAACAGAGTTAAACACAGCCACATAAAAGGTCATGGAGTGATACAGCAATAATTCTTTTTAGCATGGGAACCAAGAATTAAAAAAGCAAACCAGAAACATTTGAACACCCACTTCACTGAAAGAAATCACCATCCTCCTTATTGTCAGTTCAGAGAGGTTCTCCATATGGAGATATATTTGAGATCAGCATCTCTTCCCAGACTAACTGAAATTGGTCATGGGTTAAAAAGTATGCTATGTGGGAGTACAGACAGAAGTAGTGGAAGAAAATAAGCCTTATTTCCTTAGAAGACCAAGCTAAAAATGTCTGAAATGGCAGCTTCACACCTATAAAATGCAGTAAAATTAAGACAGTCAAAAGCAGTCAAAGGTGAGCTTAACCTGCTATGGAATCATACCACAGGATGATCTGATCACAAATGGTGCTGCCGACCTCCTCCTATAAACTTTGCGATAGTTATCCTGTGTCCTCGAGACACCTGAGAACCAGCTTCACAGCATATGGAAACCCAGCAATAAGAAATGGCTTATACAGAAAAACTTTTCTTTGGCTTGTCGACAAAATCATGCTGCTCCAAAGAACCTATAGAATACACACTACTGTTCTCAGAAAGTAGAAAGATTGCCCTATTGTACAGAACAGGTCAATTCTTAGAAAGACTTTGCTCTGCATGGTGTAAAGTATCCAGCATGTGGATTCACACATCCTGGCACCCAACAGGTCTAGCTCAAGCAGTATCACCCCTGGAATCAGCTGTTAGGCATGTACAGGAACGCAACACAGACAAGGAATGTATCTTGACAAGGACAGTATCTTGATGAGGAATGTGTCTTGGCTCCAGCTTATTGAGGCCTGACTTACTTCCATTAGTAATGCAAATAACGTATCTCAGTTATTACATTGTTGCCTGCATGAGTCACACAATTTTCCAGCATGGTGCTTCACACCTGGTCAGACCAGTTCAGGATCTGTTTTAATTCCACATCAAGAACTGATAATTAGTGAAAACCATGGAAGTAGCATCCTCCAGAAGCATAAGGAACATGCATGGCTGGCCCAGAAGTTATTGGCATGATGTAAGATGACACCATTTAATATTCCAGGAACAGAGTGTTTCATAAAATTTGGGCACTGAAATGTGCCCGTTGTAAAGAGTAATGCACCAAGATCTTCCTGCTTGTATTTGCTTTACTGCAGTGCACAGCTCACTTACCTGCCCCTCACACAGTATGTTATTTAGCTACCCCTGGTACATAGGCAACCAAAGCAAGTTTCTTCTGCCCCCCTGCATCCCAGCTGTACACAAATCACTATCTCATGGGGAATTCTGCTGTTGCAGCCCCCTGATAAAACAGGAAGTTCTCCTTACACCAAGGTTTGCCTGTTTTTTAACTTGTACAATCAGTCTGGTATTCTACTTTATAATAATGACAGTACCACACTAGCTATCTTGCAGACCCTGAGCACATATGGTCTGAAAAACAGACTGGAACAACATGGAGAGCTCTCACTGTATCTGCTAATAAAATTTCATTCAGTTTTCATATAAAAACAGCTGTGCATACTGCAAACCAAATGCACAATAACAGTCACATCGTTATGAAAAATAAGTGATACCACAGTTGAGTGGCACAGGATGAGAAGTGAAGCTTTCCAGTAGCACTGGTCAGGGACATCGTGTCCCTGTCTCTGTTTTCTCATTTCTTTTCCCCTCCTCACTCACATCAGAAGTGCACGCACCTCTGGTGAACAGTCTCAGTAAACATTTCAGCTATGCACTTGAATGAAATTCCAGCTTTAATTAAGGACTCTGGAGCTGACTCAGCTGTGCTTCTGCAGCAACAGTCTGGGATGGCACAGAGGTGATGCAAACCTCAGCTGTGCTCCAACGCACCGTACTGAGGGACACGGTTTAGTGGGCAATACTGGTGATAGGTGGATGGTTGGAATGGATGATCTTGGAAGCCTTTTCCAACCTTTGTGATTCTATGATGATCCTGAACACGTCCAGCTGCAGAGCATTCCACCTTGGGCGCATCAAAAGGATAATGGCTGTTTGTTTGGTTCCCTAACAGCTGTTCATTACAAACGCAAAATCTCCTCAGCGCCCACCGCTCCCCACAGCCGGACCGCGCACCTTCCCGCCTTCTCGCCGTCCCCTCACCTCAGCGGCTCAGCGGAGCCCGCCCGAACTCCTTGCAGCAGCCGTCTGGCGGACAGACGCCTACAAGTCCCAGCAGCCCCCGCGGCAGCGAGCCCGTGCAAGAGGCGGAAGGACACCGCAAGGGCTGCTGGGTATGGTAGTCCCGGGGAAAGGGCGGGAAGAAAAGCTCCCTCAGGGAGGGACAGCGCGTGGGCGCAGCGTGAGGAGAAAATGTCAGTGTGGTCCTCTTAGTCTCTGCTGCAGCAAAAGCACTACGCAAAAGGTTATTATTATTTTTTTCTGAAGCTTAATTTTTCCTCCAGCTCAGACAGGACGGGAAATGCATCGCTTTCAAACAAATAAAAGGTCTTTACTTACACGAACCTGTCTCTTTTACTTCAGGTGGACCTCCTGAGCACAGTCTGCCATCAGAGCAGTGTTGTACACCACAGCCACGTCCCTGCTGACTAAAGTCCAAATGGGCTGTAAAAAGAAGAAAACTCGAGTAAAATCTAATCAGTCATACATTTTTTACAGCTGCAAGATAACTCATTATGTGTTATGAGCAAAAAAATTGCTCCTGCCTTTGTGTAGGCACTTTTGGTGTGCACAATGAATCCTGAATTAATTGTATATGCAGCGGATTTGAACAAGCAGTGTAAGAAGTGGAAACAGTGCAAGGAGCAAGCACTGGGAAATGATATAATTCATCTCAATAATACGCATTATTTCTCCAAAAGGACACTCTGGTGAACATTCATGAGCTTTATCTAAAACTTATTTCAAGTTTTAGCCTTTATCGTTGTCGTCAAATTAGACCTATTTATAGCTTTATATGCAACATTTCCTTTTACCCCTTCATTTTACGAATTCTATTTTAATCTGTGGTGCTCTGTGAAGAGAAAGTATATTCCATGTGGTGCTGAACGGAAAAATGTTGCACAAATTTCCTGTAATAACAGAAAGATAAATAGAAGTTTGTCTTCTGCTGAGAGAACTATCTCAGAGTGCCCCTTAGGTGCCTTTCATAGGACAGAAGATGGTGTTCTGTGAAATTTCATCTGCAGTAGGAGGAAAAGAAGAGGCAGTTGAAAACTTAGGAAATCAATTGTAATTGCTGACTCCTAAGAACTGGAGAAGCGAACATCCTGTCATAGCTATGAAAGTGAGAATAGGGATAAGGAAATAAGAGCCTTCTAAATACACTGACATCAAGGAAAGACTGTAAGAAAACAGCAAACCCTGCAACTTCCATATCCTGGAATGTTGTCTGCTTGACAAAGAGAAAAGAGGCCCATCAGCAATGCTGCACAACTGAAGAAGTGGAATGTGCATTTTCCAGGCTGAAATAATTATTAATAAATAATATTAATAAATAAATAATATGAAAACAAATTATAAATAAATAATGTGAAATAAATATTAATAATCATTGCTTCCTACAAAAATGCAGTAAGCAATAGCCAGGATGTTTCAGCCTAGTAAATCCTGCCTCTTCCATGTGGCAGACCCACTCACACTCGCAGGTTTCAGCTCAGCTTGCAGCACAGAGAT